GTATGATAGCGTATGGTAGCGTTTGGTAGCAGTACAAATACTTATCGACGGTATTGAATGGTTAAAAGAGTCAGTTTTATTTTGGGGTCTTTAGTAAGAAATTTTAGGGACATTCGACGGGATTTACATATGTAAATACGGGATTTACATGGTTACGGGATTTACATACAACATGTTCACTTTGTCTGGTTTTGTTGCAGCATGCCCCATATTCTAACAGATTTATACAACATTTGGACGTTCGCGAAATAAAATCGCATGTTTGCTTTCATTACAATTAGCAATTGCAATAAGCGTAATTGTTATAGCGGATAGTACGACATTTGGTGCTCGTGGAATAAAATTGTACTAAGCATGTTTGTTTTCATGAATAAGTAAAATACAATGCTAATATTTAGTGAACTTGTTTTTGAAAAATTCTTTCTTATTATTAACACATCTAATTGTTCACGTTAAAAAAGCTTGTTGCTCTCCCGCTTACCTACTATTCAAACATCCGCAGAACATGAAATTATCGGTGACATCGGTTCAGGATTTAATATTAATTGGAAGCGCAGAGAGTTTGTTTTCCTTCTGAACGAGTATACTCTAATGGAATCGAAGAAGTGGTAGTTACCCGAAAAGACTGCTTATTATTATGTCGCTTTGGATCTACACTTGTGGAGTGGATCCTTGAAAAAAGCCGGACACGGTTTTTGGTTCTCGGTTTAGATATTTGTACCAATGCAGAAGACTAACTTGCAATTGTCACAGTGTTTGTGGCGCGACGTAATAGATTACGTTCTGCCACAAATCGTAGAAAAAGAAAAGATGCTACCCAAGAAGAAAGAAATGACGACAGACAAAATACAACGCATCCGCCTTTTTCTCACTCAAGACGAGCGGACAAACTCGGGTAATGCGTAGGACAGCACGATGGACGTACAATCAATGTCTTGTCGCAATCAAAAACGAAGATATCGATCGAAAAAAAATTTTGAGGGCATGATGTCTCAATGCCGTCAACTTCAATAATACCAAACTCAAATGGGTCCTCGAGTCTCCCTATGTCGTACGAGATGAAACAATGAATGACTTAAATTCAATATTAATATGAAGTTTCGTTCTAAAAAGGAGTCAATTGCAATGCTAGGGCAAGTCTCGTGGTGAAATATGCATTTCTTCATAAAATCAAGTCGACCGAGCTTCTTCCAAGTCAACTTGAATATGATAGTCGTCTTGTTATGAATCGTCTTGGTGAATTTTATTTTTGTATACCTGAACCACTTAAAAAACAAGGTCCTCTATCTTCAGAAATACAGAAAAAGGCCTTTACTATTTTTATTATATTATTTATATTAGTTATGTAATATTTCATTAAAAGATTTATGTCATATTTTATATCAATATACAATATTTTAAGAAGACTTTAACAAAATTTATGTATTTAGTAACTTAATAGGAGTGATTTGCTCTATATTAATATTAATATCTAATGCTAGATCCAGGTGTACGTACGCTCATGACTGGTTATGATCCAAGTGGAATAATATTGGTCGAATTTATCGAGCAAGTAATGCTCCAAAGTAAACGCGATGATATTCATGGGAAGAAAACGTTACAGGTAAAAATTTATTTTGTTTATTTGTAATCTAACATATTAATATGGTGCACCAACTCTATACTCGACAATGTTTCAATTCGGAGATGCAGTGTAACGAAAAAACTGTCCAATAAAATCCATTAATTTAATATCATGTGATGATTTGGTAATATCTCCATGACATTTTCGGATGCATATGATAAAGGCTTAGAAGGAATGGACGGTAAAGAAGTATAAATCACATCGTCGATTACCAGATAATGTTAACGATTTTTTTGTATCTGTTTCACTTGAAATATCGCCTCGATTTCAGAAATTTAATCGTCAAATTCACTTTTCACAGGCTACACAAATCACCAATTGGAAATGATCGCTTCCACTAGATGGAAGCCTATATATCTGTATATTATTATAAAACGTACTCCAACTTTAAAACCTTTCAACCCAACGTAGAGGCGTTTTTATGACAAACCAGCCAGTAACTTTGTAAAGCATGTCGCGATAAACATAATTACGGGCAGACTTTCCAAAAAGACGCCTCTACGTTGAGCTGAAAGATTTTAAAGACAGGTGGTTTTATTGTCGAGTATAGAGTTGGTGCACCATATTAGTATACTGTTACGAATTCACATTGTCTTGTGAACGGCTGTTATATAAGCTGGCTGGCTAAATGGCTTTGTGAAAATTAGCAGTTCAGTGCCGTTGCGCGAATCATAAACATCGTGTAATGTTACTACCTACTCAAGGACTACTGGAATGTACGTTTTCAGTCCGTAAGGCACGTGATCATACCTGGTGTCAAGAAGCAAACTTGTGGATTCTGTGGTTATATTCATAATTTAGAGATGTTAATGGTGCTCGCAATATTCTTCGATATCTTACAAGAAAGGAGTCAGCTTAGGCTGACGCGGAGCCTATTTCCTTACAGGACTTGCTAGTACTTAATTTATTGACTTTGCTTAATTAATATAGAGTTTTATTAGAGTCAGTAATGATAAGTTTTAATGTAATCGTAGGGTTGTCAAAAACTGTTAACTGTTTTGCGTTATGTCAGAATATGTTACACAGGCCGTGACGACACCAAATAAATTACAATCTCCTGTGACTTTTCATTTGACCATACTCGCATTTACTTTCATAATGGCCGGCTATCACGATTCGGGAGTGTGGAGAGGTTCTAACGTGAAGCTGGAAGCTGTAGACTCCATGGGCGTTGATGAAGAAAATACTCATAAAGTTCAGCAGGATCCGCCGATCAGTTACTCTAAATCGGGGGACACAAATACAGCCAGCGAACTAGAAAGTGCAAAGACTAAAGGCCGTGTCAGGACAGTAAAAATATCACATTTGATAGAGGCTGGCTTGCTATCTGAAGGTACACAAGTTATTTGTAGAGGCTATCGCGCTTCGGTAACTGCTCGTGGAACATTAGCGCCAATAATTCCCAATTCAGGTGCGGAATTACCAAGTTGGATCACGAGAGAGTGTAAAAGTCCGCATGCTTTCGATTCCGTCGTAAATAGATTAGGTAAGCCTGGGAAGAAAGTTTCGGCGAACGGTTGGAAATCGATCAAAGTGCCAGTTGTTTGTGAACCTGGTTTCAATGACTTTGTAAATTCGCAAGACACGTCGAACAAGAAGGGCATACTTGGTGCTACCGTCAATGGTGAGCTCTTGATTCCCCTTGATGCATATAGAATAATATATGAGAAACACGTTGAAGATGGTTGGACTTCTTTAGACGGACCTATTAAGTTTGATCGATCAATGCTTATTGCCACTTGTTATTCGGATCATGGTGTGGGAAGTGATAGAAAGACAAAAGTAAATGATGGAGGTACTCGTGGGTACGCACATTTATCCAAACTGAAGTCACAAATGACCACCAATGAATTGCATGAAGGAATCAATCGAAGGACTGCGAGAACAATGTCTCTTGAGACGGGAATATCACTTCATGCAATGAGAAACAGGAATAGACAGGAGAGAATTAATCGATCGTATGACGCTATTTCGCATAAAAGGTATGCTCAACAGTCGATATCATTACGAAGACATTCATCTCCTGCAGCAACCTCTAGACCTGAATCGCATAGACAACGGACGAAGACGGTCTCCGATCAATCAGACGAAGAATCTATTAATCATGGTATTGTTAGAAGAAGACGCAAAAAGATAAAAAGAGACGTTGTATTAGCTTCATTAGATGACAGCCTAATCCGGGTGACTGAACAGTTTCAATCTGTCAAAGTGGTTCAAGTTTCACCCTTTATCACCATGGAAACTGTTCCAATATTGATACAACACAATACTGGTATTCTCTTTTCTGACATATGCTTTGGATGTGGCGGTGTTTCCAATCAAAATGATCCGGCTGACCAGATGGTACATTGTATTCGTTGTGGCGAAGCGTACCATTGGTATTGTGGTATTGAAAGTAGCTATGGGAGGAATATACAACACACCATAGATCCGTCTAGTTGGGAGTGTCCGAGATGTAAAATATGCCTCAAATGTCAACAACCAATCGCCCAGTTGTCACCTTCTTTGAATCGACTTAATCAACATCGTGGGTTGTCTTATCGCGATCAGTTACCATCTCATACGATACTCGAGTGTTCTGAATGTGGGATCACCTTACATTGCGAATGCCAAAAGCAGAATGAGCCTTATGTCGACTTGTCAATTCAAGAGAGCAGAGGAATATGGAAGTGTGAGAGTTGTAGGAGATGTCTGGAATGTGAATCAAATTCCGCAATAAGGCAATCGGGTCCAGACGATGGCGGTGGCACCAGTGACGGCGACTGTGGTGATGATGGCAGAGATAATTGTAGCCGTGATGGTGATGGTGACTTGAATAATTCGGATGACAGTGATAATACTTCTGCATCCGATGACGATATGAAAGCATCCGATCATTTTCGCCGATGGACTCACGAATATCGTTTGTGTTCCAGCTGTTCTTATTTCGAAGCATGTGGGAACGTGTGCTATCTGTGTCGGAAATTGTATCGTAGTGATGACTACGATACTCCAATGGTTAAATGCGATGGATGTCTGTGTTGGATACACCAGGAATGTGATCAACGACTAGCAGCTATAGATTATGAGGCACTTGGCGATGATGAGAATCAGAAATACTTCTGTCCTTTGTGTTTGGAAGAGCCCAAGAACAAGAATAAAAGGAAACAGAGAATGCGCGATCAGAAAGACATTCAAGCCGCGAAAGTGTTTTGTTCTGATTATAGCACGTCAAACGTCGTTCCACAGTCTGAAATCCGGAAGGCTGGGCTGGCGAGTGAATTACCGTCAGACAAGGAAGCAGCAGAACTGTTACTAGCAATTGGAGGATATCTTAATAATAATAATAATCAAAACGAGTCAATGAATCAGGAGACATCGCATATTAATATGTCAGTAAACCAATTAGAACAATATAATGAAAGTAAGTTGATAAATCAGCAAGCATCACATACTGATGGCGAGTCAATAAGTTGGCAAGAACAATGTACTAATAACGGGTCGAGAAACCAGCTAACGCAGTATGCTGAGAATGACATGTTGATTGAAGAAATGTCAACTACACAAGTTCATGGGACTCAACACTCTGATGCATCAGCAAATCAAATGGCTATAGACCAACTGTGTTATCGAAATGGACACACGCGGCCAACACTTTCTGCTTCTCATTTATTAACTCCAACTGTTGATCCGCCTTGTGTATTTTGCAGTCCTGCTCAACCAATACTTGGTACAGGCAGATTGATTCCCTTCTGGATGGATGATGGTGATAATCCACAGTCTAGTGTTCAATATTGGGCACATGTTCTTTGTTTATTATATTCAAAAAACGTCATGATAGACCTACTAGATGGAGGATTAATCAATGTACAGAAAGTGATCAGGGAATCAAGGAACAAGGTAAGTAGTGATGTTACATAATTATGATCAAATTCGAAATTAGGTCCTACTATAATTGCCGTTCTCGCTGATGTCATTACCATTTGTATTTAACATAATTGTAATGACTAACTTATGACTGCCACTCATGTTACTAAACTGTTGTTACTTTTAGTTACCGCAATAACCACGTCTTCCGATTTTCTTTTGTATAGAACTGCGACATGTGCAGACAACCATTTGCTACTGTCGAATGCCATAACGCTTGGCCTGGATCAACAGAAGACTGCGCCAATAAAACGTGGCATTTTTCATGTATAATAGCATATATATCGTCGGCAGACGACACCAACACATCACGTAGATTCATATTTAAACAAGAGAAATGGGAGGTATTTTGTGGAGAGCATTGCGATAACCATTCAGAATTGAATTATAATACAAGAATGAGTGATGATGCGATATTACAAAGATTTTATGTGAGGAAAGAAGGAAAATCATACAATTGCGATTCTCAATTATTAGCACTACCCAGACATTATAATATATGCGAAAGTTTTAATCCACAAAATATACCGGGAACCTATCGATTTGGTGCACTTATAATACGCTCTATAGGTGAATTTCCCTCCGATGGACCGTCACTATTCGACTCATCTTTTGAACATCCAATACCTTATGGATTTCACGTCGAGCGGCGATATATGGACCCAATTACCGGAAAAAAATACAAAATCGATTGTCAAGTAGTCGCATCTGATGGCACTTGTTTTAATCTGCGGCATGAAACTCGCAGTTTGACCTTTACAGAGGAACTTGAGGAAAAGACTGAGGTGGTAGTGCGTTATGATAAACCAGAATCAGCACTGTATGGTTGGAAAGTTGCAATAATGGAATATGACAACAGTCAAGACATAATATATCCTTTAGGAAGATATAAATTGGTTGATTTATCTCAACAGTCTTCAATGAAAGGTATGTTCAATAACTTTGCCGGAACGTTTGGTGGATGCTGTACTAAACAGTATCGTCCATATCACTTCTCTATCCGTAAAATTAGATGTTATCAATTGGTTGATCTCTCACTATCCTGCTCTGACAAGTCGCAGTGATAACAAAAGGCTCAAGTATTATCTAATGCATCCACATGCTTTCTTTGGCCTAAATCACTCAATTATTGTGCGTTTTTTGCAATGCCTCCCTAATTATTATGTATCTGTCAAAACAATGCGTGAATGGAGAACAGGTAACGTATTCGGCGCTTCCGATGATAACTCCAATAATGACTATGACTGCACTTATGTCTCAGCACGTACAGAATCACGATCAAAGAAGACTATGCGTCGGATAAGAAGAGTTGGAGCATGTTGCCATTTGCAGATCGTTGAAAAAGAGGACAACAGTTATGATGTGATCATAGATCGTCAAAGAGCAAATAATAACCGTCTTCTGACTTCTCGACTGATTATGAATAAAATGGACGCAATGATATTAGAAGAACAATATTACTCTATGAAAAAGACAGAAGCACGAGATACTATAATCGAATCCATTAGATGCAGAGAGCAAGATAGTGATACGGCTGCTATTCGCCGTAGGACATCAGGCAGCGTACCTGCGCACACTATCACAGTTAACAAGACTGAGAGAATAAAACATCCACCAACAGATTTTGGTGTTTTTGCGCAGAGGTCATTTGAGAAGGATGATATGATTTTAGAGTATACAGGAATGGTGATGAATACGGTCAATGCTCGACTATTAGAGAGTTCATATGCTCGTCAGCAGAGATCATGCTATATGATGTGGGGAGATGCGGATTGGGTGATTGATGCAAGTAGACGTGGAGGGAAAGCACGCTTTGTCAGCTCAGTTGATAATGTAGGATGATATTTCGTCTACTATTGGTATTTTAAACATGATATATAACCTAATACACTCATTATTTATTTACCCATTTATTAGGGTCAAGGAAACACATATGCAATGTCCTTCAAAATAGGATCGAAACGAAAAATAGCCTTATTCGCAGCGAGACATATTGATGCTCATGAGCAGATTACATTTAGATACGCAATATCATCGGAGACTGAAGCTGTTATTAGGAATTGAATGTGAAGGCAATAGGAATGTCAATGTTTTTATACTGATCATAATGTTTTGTCACAATGGTAATAGTATTCAGGTCGCGTGTTGGACGTTCACTTTGTTGACAAGAACCTCCATGACGTCAAAAGTAGTTAAAAAAAGAATTTATACATTTGTTGTAATTCCCGAATAGAAGGGAATTCCTCTTTCTTTGTAAATAAATTCGCGCTTTTTTTGAACAACAACTGAACGCGTTTACAATTCAAATTGTTGACGCGTGATTGCCGCAGTATTGTAATATCAGGTGATCCTAATAATCAAATCACATGAGCATGACTTCATTACAGAAATCATGGCCAGTTTTTAGACATAAAAAACCCCACCGCAATTTCACCGCAAACTCTTGTCTCTTTTCTCTTCATTCCATACCAACATCCGAACAATACCGGAACCTTCTTGTCCCAAACACGCTGATAGATAGAGTAGCCACTAGATAACTTAGAAAACCATGGGTCCAAAGAAAGCGCAAAGTGAAAAGTCAGATACGCAGAAGAAATCCGCAACCAAGAAAGCGCCCGAGCATCCACCTTACAAAGAAATGATAAGTGCAGCTATCCATAATCTGAAAGAAAGGAACGGCTCATCAAGACAAGCTATCAAAAAATATATACATGCTAACTACAAGGTTGGGACTGTTCATTTCTTGTTTACAGCTCGTATGATGCGCAAAGGTATATGATATCAGGATTACTAATAGTCTGCGGTTGATTTTCCCGCGCCACATCCCATGCAGGTTGGTGATGGCAGTGATGGTCAGATTAATCTAGCTATCAAGCGTGGTGTTGCTAATGGAGATTTTCTTCAACCAAAAGGTGAGTTTGATCTTTATTTACGACTAATGGCGTCCGACGATATCATTTAAATTTATTTGTCACTAAGGCCATTCATTATTAATTCACAAGCGACTAAAGTTTTAATTTTGACTCATCACAATTACACCTCGGATATTGTGTTTTATTATTTTAAGGGCCTTCTGGTCCCGTGAAGATCAACAAAAAACCCAGTACAGCGAAGAAGGAAGCTCCGAAGAAAGAGCCGACTAGCAAGAAGGAGACAAAGAAAGCAGCACCTAAAAAGAAGACTGAAAAGAAACCAGAAAGAAAGAAGACCGAGACCAAAGCTGCACCCAAAAAGACAAAAGCTACGCCGGCCAGAAAAGTGACTAAAAGAACCGTTAGCAAGACTGATAAATCAGCCGCAAAGACCGAAAAGAGAAAGAAAACCACAACTAGTAGCACCAAAAGGGCTACCAAGAAGTCTAGGAATGAATAAGGATCTATTCTCCATTAACTAGAAGTTTGTAAAGTGTATTGATTTTTATGGTGTCTTGATTATATTTCTTGCCAGAATAAATTTTGGTTCCTGTTGATAGTTTTGCTTTTAGTCTTAGTATGCAGGGTACGTGCGGTAGAGAATCTGTTGACGTTGTCGCCGATTGTGTATAATTTCCTTATCTACCTCAATAAACTATGTCTTATAGATACTTCTGCTAGTAGGAGAATATCAGTAATTGGGTTATATATGTAATAAAGGTTGTTTCTGAAACGTGTCTTTATCGAGGCTTCGTCTTGGCTGTAATCGAAACTTGGACGACGCGACCGATTACGTTTCACAAAATCACATGTGCCCGGTCTTGCCTTAATGATATATCGTAGACCGCTGACTAAACGCACCCCAGGTATTTTACATTTCACACTTTTTAGAGGTATTTTACTTGGGAATACCGTACTTATGGTAATACATTGACAACCCCATAATGTTTAGGTAACGCATTCTGTATAAATAAAGACTTGTCACGCATAACAGATTCGTGTTCTCTTCTACTATGGTTCGCACTAACAAACTCACAAGACGTTTTCGTATCACTAAACAAATTCGCAGGAAATGGTCATGTATTACTATTATCGTCATCACTCTATTCGAGAAACTGCAGGTTCGACATAGAACCAAAGCAAGTAAGAGACTGGATAAGTAAAAAATACCATACTATTCAAATGCACTATTTTGTTCGTATATTAATATATTGTTTATCAAGTGACAACGTAATATTTGGTTTGCATAATACCCGGGTCTTTTACAATTTTTTCGGCCTGAACTGCTGCAGGGTACTATACACAGGGAAATACTTTAGTCAGCGGTCTACATAATTATTATTATTAACAATATCAAATAATAATAAGATGGATGAGGTATATTCTAATTTATGATTGGTCCAATGGTCTCGTCAACTAATGATAGGACGGTTAGGAAGATTAGGATGCTTCAAGAACTATACTAACGATTGAGACAACTTTAATATTAACCATTGATAGTAAAGAATCTGCACATGCATGATTAGGCATATTCTTTTACAGAGCTATATCATTTTGCGTTGTAAAAATTTTCAATATTAAGCACAGCTTTTCTCATTTATGCTTGGAGATTACATAATATAGACGAATAAATAGTGTTGATTATGAAAACTCTATACAGTCAAATCTCGTTCGTTTTGTCGATAATTCATAAGTGAGCGCCAATATTGTATTAAATAATACAATGATATTGTCATGACTAGTTTGGGTAAACCATATATAGTTAACGATAACGATAAGCGCCTCACTGGGAAAATGCGGGGTTGTATCACATACACTTGTTATCTGTTCTTTTTTTTTTTTCCCCCTACATTCTCCTGTGCAAGAAGTGTACGAAAATTCTGCAATTAACAATTATTTGTCTCGAATACGGCTATATGGAGCAGCAAATATACCGATACGATCAAATTGACTGTGACAATTATCTCGAACAACATTATCTAGGAATCGAAGACATGCCAAGTTTAGGTCTTGGTGATCCCGATATCGAATATGCTTCTCTAGACAATAGCGTTATGCAGACAGAAAGTGAAAAATCTTTTTCATTAATCTCAGATCTATATAGTGATGAAGAAAGTATCCTAGAAAGTCAGCAAAACATGTTCAGTGACGAAATCTCATTAAACATTGCAGAAGAATATATAGGCATTGAGGATGTTGGTGACACTATTTCCATAAGCGATGCCGACTATGAAGACGATGACTACAATGATGACAACAACTGCAACGGTGACACTCATGTTGATAATAATGATATTATTTCGCTTTTACCAACGATAGATAATGAAAAGAGGCAGGGAGGTTATGAAATTCAAGGGAAACTTTTCCAGGCTAATAGTGATGCTCAATGCGTAATTATGGACATTCATAACAGACAATTACGGCGATGTAGTAGAAAAGCAATTAAACCGTTAAAGCAGTTAATAGGAACGTGGCAAATCTGTACTGAAGCAATCAAAATAGCTTTGAGTATTAAAGGAAGAGAAGAGGAATTATTGGGTTTATTAGGCGTCTGTTCATCCCACTTCAATTTCGACAAAGATATTCATCCTCCTCGCGTAAAGACAAAGTTGAAAGATATAAGAAGTTTGATTGATGTTCGGAGATGTCTTTTCTGCTATAAAGACCACTATTACTTATCTAGAGGCGGACATTGTCGATATCACGCACATTCCGTTTTAGATAGAATGGTACAAACACCTTGCCAAGGTCTCTTAGTCTGCCCCGTCTTCAAAAACAATACGTTCTTCCCGAAAGCGAACAATCATAAGAGATCGCGATACGTCTGTCTATTATGTTTTAATTCGGAAGGCGGACATTACTTTCAGCGATCTGGAAAGGGGAACGATCCATCCGACTGCTCAAATTTACACGAAAAAGACACAGACAAATCATTACAACTGATGGGAAGTTGGATTTCAAATATGGCTGCATCAGATAAATTATCGGACTCTATGAAAGACCTGCTATTAGAAGAGTTGTATAATGCAATTAAGAACTTTTTCATTAAGAAAAAACAATCGAAAAAGGAAAAGCCATCATCGTCATCTGAATCATCTGAATCGAAACCAATACCTCCTAGTCTTCTTGCTGTCAAGTTGACATTTATATTAGGAAAATGCAGTATAAAAACTATTCAGGAAGATAAATTTACTCAGTCTATACAACAAAATCCGGAGAAGTTGGGAGAAGCGTTGGGGCATCTGGTTTGGCTTTCGCGTAAAGAAGTTAACGAGAATAAGCGAGTACTGACAAATCCAAGCACTCTCGAGGGATATCGTGGTGGTTTTCCTTTTGGAATTAGAGCATTTTTTGACAGTTTTATAATATATATACAAAAAAGAAAATGGGCAATTTTACAAAAAAAAAGGGCACAAAGAAAAATGCCTACGAATAGTTTTGACGATAGCAGAGCCATAAAGATATCCACTTTTTTTATTTCAGTCATCCTAAACATTGCCTTTCCAAATGCAAACATATGGTTTACCCATATTCTGAGCTCATTATCACAGAAGCCCAACATGATTTCATCACTTTATGCAATTCTCTGCGTTGCAAACGTTATTTCACATTCAGCACGATACGAAAAAATGTTAGAGAAGGAGCGGAGAACATTGGTTGATCCGAAACAACGGCTAATTCATGGGGATAACGTGTGGAGCGTAGGAGCCATTGACAACATCGATTTTAAGGAAAAAACGTTTTCATATGACAACATATATGACGTTTCACGAAAAACTAACCATGCTACTATTCGCATGGCTTTTCAATTCGTTTTACCGAAATCGTTGATGGAAATAAGAGAAGAGGTCAACAACACTATTAATCCGTGGCAGAATCAGTTTGAGGTGGGCGTGACGTCCTTTATTAAAGAACAATCAGATATCATAGAACAGATTATAAGGTCTCTACGTTCAGAGGACATCGAATTTGATGTTAGTGATGTGCTTAACAAGTTGAGAAAATGTATTCCAGAGTGTCACTCTATACCACCAGCAAATGTGGTCATTCTAAGGCCGGGCAAAAAACCAACATCTAATAAACACGTTCATGAAGCTGCTCTGATGTATTATGACGATGTCGGTATAAATTCTTCGGGAGAATTATCGATAGTGGCTGATGAAAGTATATTTCGACGGTTGCCGATCCTTCACTCCGAGCACCCCGAATTGCAGTTTCTTCTTGGTGCTTGGCACACGAATAAAAATATGTGTGTAGCCCTCATCAAAACCTTCTCTGGGTATGGTATCTTCAACATGGCACGAGTTTTAGGAGTTTGCTTTTTAGATAAGTTTGAGAGGGTAGTTGACTATAGTGCGGCATCAAAGGTGATGGAAATGTTATTAGTAGCTGTAAAAGTGGCAATACAGAATTTTGTACAAAGGAGTGGTGAAACAATAGAGCAATTATTATGTAAAAACAATTTATTAAGAGTCTGGTTCCTCTTTGCCAATTGGACGTTTTTTTGGCTATGCCACAAACTCGGGATAAGGCACGGGCATCATAAGTTACAATTCGAAAGTCTAATGGCATTCGCGCCATTATTTCCGGCGGCAGGTTGCCCGAATTATACTGAATCTACTGTGCATTATTTATCTTACATTCAAAAAAACCCCTCTTACACAAGCTGTTGGATTATGTACCATCAGTAAATATAACGCGGCCCGGTCATTATCTGGCGTTTGATGAGGCGTTAGAGCGGTTCGGAGTTTTATACGTCAAAAGAAACATCGGGAAGAAGCTTGTCAGTGACGATGACTTAATGGAGAGAATTGCATCAGTCCAAGCTGAGAGGGATCGGTTGAACTTGTTAATGAAAGAATATATAGGGGACAGTTGTCTTACACACACGGAGCGCACAATAAAATCGAGGAGAGATAGGCTTTGGCAGCTCGTGAGTCTTTTGGAAGATGCTTTTAACAATAATTCATTGAATCAAAATTTTTTTAATACACCAGAAAATAACGCCGAAGGTTTTGCCAGACTATTTTCGTGCTATGAAATTGGCAAATACAGACTAATGAGAATATACCGTCAAGATATAGAAGGAAGTGAAGTACGTATAACTGAGGGCAGACGGGCGAAAAATGTTGTCACTCATACCTATAGCAAACTACAACAAATGGAGAAAGAATGCACCCAATCTACTAGTCGCACCCAATCTACTAGTCGCACCCAATCTACTAGTCGCACCCAATCTACTAGTCGCACCCAATCTACTAGTCGCACCCAATCTACTAGTCGCATCCAATCGCAACATGTTAATATCCACAAAAGATCAAAGTATGCCGACATACCACCCGGCTACTTGTCAGAATGTAGACCGCAATAATTGAAATAATAAAAGTTGATACATTGAAATGTCTTTTGTTAAATTGTAAAATCAACCAACCAAACAAACAAACAATCCAAACAAACAAACAATCCAAACAAACCAGACATAGATGTGTCATGCATAAACCCCGTCACCATATAAATCGTGGTACGGCAACGGGATTTATATATAATTTTGTAAACTTTGATCGCATAATCCACCCGACTGCGTACTGGACTAAATAATACTTTTCTCGACTTTTTTTTATAATCTCCTGCTCTTCCTCTTCGCGTTCATCCTTTAAACCCACGTACCCACACAAAAGACATATACCCCCGCCCCACCCAACTGTGATTACATATTACCTTGTAGTTGTCAACACCACCCGACTGAATCCCGTTCCCTACAGTATATAGTTACATTATAGAATTACTAGAGTAAGAGCAAGCGAAAGCTGTTGTTGCAAAAGTGTTCACATTAGAAAGCTTGTCAGTGAAAGTTTAGACCTAATAGTTGAAAGATCAATGACCGGATCAAGTGAGTTATAAGCTAATAGGTCAAGTCGAGCAGAATACTATTAATAAACCTTCAAAAGCCACAAATGAATCATCATTGTGCCAATAGGATATATTGAAGCACTCTCTATTCGCCACCCGTAAACGTATGAGACAGATGCCAAACAAGCATACAGGAAGAAGATCTTAATAGTTTGTATAATAAAAGTGATGGTTTTCAAGTCAAGGTCAAGTCAATACAGGACAAAAGCAATGAAATTGTTATTATATCAGTGAAGGCACTGAACATGTAGATATAAATTTGCTTAAGGTAAAGAAATCACTCAAATATGAGCAAAGCGCAGCATTCTCACGCTGAAGTCTTGCCTCAAACGTTACACAAATTTAAGATCTTATAAAGATTTGTTAAGGGGGACATTTCACCTGACCGTTATCTCTTCCATGTGATTGGAACCAAAAACATAAAAAGAAATTTTCAGTCCCACTGGATGTGGGCCTGCCGTACCCTCATATAAAGTGATCGGCAGCAAAGGTCGTATTTTACTATTAGAAAATCTGCTGCGCTCACTTTTCGTTCATTTTTCTTATTTTCATCCTGACAAATTTCTTGTTAAAAATCGAGTAAACGAGAAGCTATAACTTTCGCCTTTATACGTGAAAATTATACGTCTGTCTGTGTCCTAGTTCCGGAACATCTTGAACAGAAGTACAAGAGTGTAATGAAAACGAGCAAAATTCTAAGAATTTTGATTGGACATTCGGAATTTGTATTGTCGGGAAGTTTGCCATATAACAATAACGATAACATGCCAACTTCTTTTGATGGGTTGGTCCGATCTCTTCGGCTTCTGATTTTTTATATTTCTCGCTGCATGCACTTACGTTATCCTTATAGGGTGAATTCGAACCTTCTTCCGCAAATGACTTACTTCGGCATTGCATATGTTAGAAAAGAAAGAAGAATGGCAGTATTCCGTGAAGATAATGTTGATGACATGATATCTATAAATTATGACAATTATAATGACAACTGCAACAAGAATGACTATATATATGATGACTACTCATATTGATAATGATGATAACTCGATCAATACGATTTCGCTTAAAGACAGGAATGTTATAAAATCCGGTAGCACAATGTTGATTATGGACATTAACGTTAACGTTAACGTTAACGTTAATAGGCAATTATAGTGACGTAATAAATAAGTAATATGTTAACAGGGATGTGGGGAAATTGCTTTAAGGAAAGGAAGGGAAGTTAGAGTTTATTAGGCGCCCGTTTGTTGCAACGTGCGACTTAACGTCAATTGTCAAATAAGAAAATTTGACGGTGAGTCTATAATATTTTATTGCAGAGCGGATTAGTAGAAGTTGAATAATTCTTAGGTAGATGTTGTTACATGCTCATTCAGAAAGAAGCTAACACAGGCATAGAGCGATAGAGTGTTTGTTTATAATACAATTAAGCTTTTTTTTTCGGAGGTTACAAGGGTAACGTAAGTGCATGCAGCGAGAAATATAAAAAATCAGAAGCCGAAGAGATCGGACCAACCCATCAAAAGAAGTTGGCATGTTATCGTTATTGTTATATGGCAAACTTCCCGACAATACAAATTCCGAATGTCCAATCAAAATTCTTAGAATTTTGCTCGTTTTCATTACACTCTTGTACTTCTGTTCAAGATGTTCCGGAACTAGGACACAGACAGACGTATAATTTTCACGTATAAAGGCGAAAGTTATAGCTTCTCGTTTACTCGATTTTTAACAAGAAATTTGTCAGGATGAAAATAAGAAAAATGAACGAAAAGTGAGCGCAGCAGATTTTCTAATAGTAAAATACGACCTTTGCTGCCGATCACTTTATATGAGGGTACGGCAGGCCCACATCCAGTGGGACGGAAATTTTTTTTTTATGTTTTTGGTTCCAATCACATGGAAGAGATAAGCGCCTCACTGGGAAAATGCGGCACAATTTATACTTTGCCAACCTATTAAACAGAATGGTACAAAGATCTCTTAGTCTGCCTCGTCTTCAAAATACAAATAAAAATATATTAAAACGGAATGTGCGTGATATTGGTAATGTTCGCCTCTAGAAAAGTAATAGTTGTCTTTATAGCAGAAAAGACATCTCCATACATGAATCTAACATTTTTCAACATTGTCTTTGCGCGAGAAGGATGAATATATTTGTCGAAATTGAAGTGAAGTGAACAGACGCCTAATAAACCCTATAATTCCTCCTCTTTCCTTCTACACTCAGAGCTATTTTTATTATATTTGCCACATTCCTATTGACTGCTATAACAGTTAATTACTTCTCTACTACATCACCGTAATTGTCTGTTATGAATGTCCATAATTACGCATTGAGCATTACTATCAGCATGGAAAAGCTTCCCTCGAATTTCATAACTTTCCTGCCTTTATCATTGGTAAAAGTGAAATAATATGTTGTTCGAGATAATCATCACAGTCAATTTCACTGATATTTGCAACTGAAATTACGTTAGCATTTGGCTTTGTGGTTGCTGTTGTGTCCTCAACCTTGGTGTCGTCACTACTTTGACAGGAGCATCAACAGCAGGCAAATTTGCAGTAACAGAAGAGGGTAATGAAGCTGGAGATGGATTAGCAACAGGAGATCATTGTGCTGGTGGTTGCTGGACCTGAGTTGGGGGATTTTTGCAGAGGTGTTAACTGCGCGGCTTTGAATGTTGGTCTTGCGTATATTGAACGAGAAGGGGTTGCCGATTGGAATATCGCTTGCCCAAAGTTTTCCGAGCCAGAAGACGAGCAAACCGTTTAACAAACTTCGTGAAGAGGAATCGTGAGAGAATGACATGCAGTCACCTATGGTGGACAAGACATCACTGCCGAATGCCGTCGAATGTAAAATACAATACAAATGCTGGCGCGGTGCATCTATCTGGAAGGAGATGGATATGGAGATGGGATATGAGTTGATTTATTAATATTCTGGTTGTCCGTAGAAGTTACTTTTTCAATCTTGGTCTTCTTTGCTTGTGGTGCGTCTACATTTGCCCAATCGCTAGTGTCCTCTATTTAGGGATGTTTAATGTCTTGTTATGTCAATGATATTAGATAATCTTAACATTCCTACTTCAAACTCTTGGGACAAATCAACCACTTATACACAATTTCATCTAAATTTACCGGTTCAATTCCCGGTCGGGCATGACCAGTGGTAGATGTATATTTTGCCTCGCCATCTCTTCATTACATATGTCAACCATATACTCATTACCAATCTGTCATAATTTCGTCAACTGGTCTTGATGCAGACCTATCAGACTGCAACGTCATAAGAGGTGGTATATGGATAGCTGATAATACTGGTTCTGATTTCCTTTGGCATCCGTTAAGCTTGCTAATGTAGGAGATCTTGGTTCATTAGGAGAATGTGGAGCAGATGACGATTCGTCATTTCGTGTGTTCAGTTTGGTAACTCTCTTGATGCATCTCCTGATGACATGTGTGATGGTTGCAATACAGTCAACCACCTTTGAAATATACTTTCAGACACCACGAGGATGGCCCGTCCTCCGTTGTCTACTAGATAGGCCTGGCTTCCTATCAGTTTTAGAGTGTTACGTTAACATTAAGTTATTAAGATGCAAAGCATAGCATAGTAACCATGCACTCCTCCGGTTCTCTTTCGAGATGTTCCCAAGACTAGCGTACTAGCAAACCTGCGCTTTTCGTGCAGAGAGTTATAATGACGAATGTTTATTTACCTTATTTCTAATGAGAGTTTATATGGATAGAATAGAGAAAATGGAAAGAGAGTTGAGCGTACCAACATTTTTAATAGTAGAAACGCCACCTCTCATTGTCGATCATTTCATAAGAGGGTACAGTAGCCTTGTGACAGGGGTGACATTTCACCTGACCGTTAACCTCAGGGTATGGTGCTCTACGTTTTTAACCACCATTACATTGGTAGCCAACCATTTCTATTCCATATATTAGTATGTATCTGAGACAACAGCTATATTAATATTGATGTGCAACATTAGTTTTGTGTTTTTGAGAAGTTTCTTTTTATGAATTAATCACTTTGTCCTCAAGTTTCGCATAATTTGTTTCAAACCGTTTTGACCTGGTCCAGATTTAGTAAGTGTTACACGATTATTGCAATATATATATTTTTTTTCACACCAGATATTAATATACAACTTAAATTGTAATCCAGAAAACCCGCCAGAACATCCAAATTAATAATTCTGCTCTCAGTCTGCTTATTTTTGGAGACAAAGAAAAAGACCATTTCAAAGACAAAACAAAACAAAACAAAACAAAGGCAGCGCAACCTGATTTACTTGTTATTCATTATCAGCAGCCTTAGATTTACAGAAACGCAAAAGACAACGTTGAAAAATTGACTTACGGTCATTTTAAAGCAAATTGCGAGAATAAGTAATTTGGCTTAAAACACATTAATATCAGAATGTCACATTCCTGATCAAGAATGAGGGTGATTGGTCAATGTTAATATGACTGCATCAAAATATTGTGTGACAGTATAAATAAGAAAATGTTCTTGGGACATTCGAGTTATCGGACATGTCAACTGAGCGATCGAGAGCTCCCTTAACACCTCAGCGCAAGGCCTTCAATTCTCGCAGTAACAGGCAACCTCATTCAAATGTTCATCCACAATTATCTGAAATTCATCAAGCAAAGGTATTGTTCAACGTTTAATCGATTTGCGAGCAATTCAATGTTCCAGACTGCACGTTAACCTCATTCTCTGCCGTAGATAGTTAGTATCCAAGAATATGGTGCATTTGCTGAAATAAAAGGATACCCAAGACATGGGTTGATACACAAATCTCACATCTCAAAGTATCGAAGTGAGAATGTTGGCGAAATTTTAGAAGTGGGAGATATTGTTTGGGTGAGCAGCAAACGCGATGGTTCATGTGCGACTGATGGTTGATTAATGCTAAGTACGATAAACGAATCTCGTCTCAACAAGGTAAAAGTGATTGGAGTAGAAGAACAAGATGGAAAGACAAAGATCAAGCTATCGATGCGATATGTAGATCAAGGTATCATTCAATTCCATATGACTTTTTTTCCCAAATGAGTTGGTGGCAAGTGAAATTTATTTATTAATTTCATTATAGGGCGAGGTGAAGATTTAGGTAAAATAAAGTCCTTTTACAGTGTTGACAGTTTTGTCATGTAAACTCCAACTTGTTTCCCTTTGTTGTAGATCCTAACAACGTTCAATTAAGTCAAGATCAAAACCGTCATAAGTCGACCTCTGCATCAAAGATGGTGAATCCTATCGAGATAGCTGACGCTGTTGTTAATGCAACATGTAGACGATGTGGTGGAAAAGGGCATATGGTCTGTATGACTTGAATGACATCCGAAGTCGCGTACCAGTTTAACATAGTAAAGATCATACATAACACATGTGATTTTACCAGGATACCGATTGCTTTGTTCAGCAAGGTGAACAGTACTCACTCGTTGCGAGTGACGATGAGATTTATGCTGCCGCTTCAACTTCAGAACTTACAGCAACTATTAGGAAAAATAAGCACAAGAAGAGAGAAGACAAGAGGAAGAGGAGTCGATCTGAGAGCCAAGAACAAGAGAGGTATATTGATAAATCATTTCTTGTTAACATTTGGATATTAGATAAACTTTTTTCGTCCTTGCCAGTCCATCACATAAAAGCAGACGGATCAAAGAAGTTAAAACTATGGAGGATGCATTGGAAGTCATGCGTAGAAAAGCACGAAAAAAAGAAAGGCAAAAGCATAAGGTATTGTACATGCATAAGTAGATACTAAAGAAGTTAAACTTGTCTCGGATGATTTCCAATGTTCTCACGAAAGTTGCATTTGTATATCAGCACTCTGGAGGTGATAAACGTAAATCGCGAAACAAATCATCTATATCGAGGCGCAAGGACCATTCTTCTACTACCGAAAGCCCATCTTCTGATTAGTGTTATATACTGTTGTCCTATCTATGGCGCGAATGAAAATTATTTGATATCGTATTTACGGCCATTTGAATCCCCTCGTCCATGTTAAGAAATGGAAACCGCGTGACAGTTGTTTATATAAATGATCGATGATAGCTTTTTTCCCTTTCAACGACTAAATTCAGACGGTTAGCGTAATGTACTGTATACATTGTTCACTTGCCTTTTCGCTAACTGACTCTTTTTTCCCAGCTGACGCCGTCGTAAAAAATATAAGTTAGCGGAGATTTGCGCTATCGTTTCGGGAAAACATCTAATCACAAAAAAGATTACTGAGAAACAAGTCCATATACCATCACACGCACCATTTCAATATTAATATGTACGAACCATCAATTTTAATTTCGAAATCTCGACATATATTTCTATCGTCTAAAATCCTAATTTCTCTTGTATATTTATCGACAAAGTATAAAATATTAAAAACTGCACCGCCAACCAATTTTATCCAGTCAACTGAAACCTAAACTTCTCGCAAGACCGTGAGTTGTTACTATTCTTGCTATAAAAAGTTTCGGTTCTTGTAAAATTTTGGGATAGTTTTTTAATCGTCTTATACCTTATTCCATTGATTTATTCAATAGGGATTCATGTCAGTAGCCAATTTTCCCGGATCTATTCTTTACTATATAAACGGCTTTACCGAAAGTGTCAAAATTCGTGTCGGTCCATCACATCATTATTCAAAAGTCGACGCAAAAATATGCAAAAATATGCAAAAAAACTATCTAACACTTTCACCATCCCATATGACAACTCTCAACATTCATACTCCCAACTGCAGAAGTATCTATGATTTGAGTCTGGGATAAAGTGCATCTATGTGGAAAAAGGATAAAGTGTGCAATTTTGTCTGCTTATCTAATAGTCGCGTCGAGGGTGGACATCGTTGTACAGAGGATTCTTTCATCGAAAACTTACATTTGTCGGCCGTAATTTTGTTATTATTGTTGCGACCCATTCTGGAATTTGACTTATTCTGAGAACGGGTCAAACCCGTTTCAAGATTGTCACAATTAAATCCTAGAACGGGTCATAGCATGATAATTATTATCAACAAATGTTCTTGTTTAAACAATTTACTGAAATCTGAAATAAGCCCCACAAAAGAACTTCGTCTCAGATTACAATTATAAGGAAAATATACAGCAGGAACGATATCGCCACCTGATAGTCTGTTTTCATAAACCGAGCATTAGTAGATCCTAATGATTAAATTTTAATGTTTATTAACCTCTTTTTATCACCAGAGACTTAATTACACATGAACAAACATTGACATATCGATTATGCTTTGAGAATCCATTCAAGCACACCTCTAACGAGAGGCCTAACCAAATGTTTTCGGTACTTCATTGAAGTTATTACCACTCCCATAGAAAAGCCAAACACTCCAACTTCACCGAGTTCACGCAATGATTCTGCTTGTTGCCACCACGCATTGTTAGCAACTATGCGATTCCAGAAACAATACAAGGCCCGCGGAGCGACGTACAATGCCATCTCCCCTCTTCTTCTCTTGCTCTCAAACAATAACGAAATCCCACAAATCATGCTCCCTAACCATGGACCAAGAAGCCTGTCATATATAGTCGGATTTAATGACGGAAAGAGAGTAGGCCCGATACGATTTCTCATGACGCAACATGAATACCAGATAGATGCAATAAAAGTGGCAAGAAATGAAGCTGATCGCATGGTTGCTATAATAACGTGAAGCAGAATCGGGAGAGGTGACTTAAAGAATCTACGAGGACGAAACAAGAGTGGCGGAAGTAGATGCACTGGTATGTAAATCTACAGGATAAATAATAAAGTGCGAATGAGCGACGAGGTAGATTTGGCGCATATACAATAAAACACGTTAAAAAGTTACCTTCAATGCCATCAAAAATCCGGTAATCCATCTTATCATAGTATGCAACTCGCAACTTTTCGTTGTATTCCCATGCACTACCAAACATGGAAGTTGTCCATTTGCAGGATTCCCCAACGAAGGATCCAAACCTATTTCTGCACAATAACTCCCAAGAATATGTGCATAGCCACTGTCTCGACCATACTCGTATTTTCCCTGTCTCATCAACCGAACAACATCCAGTAACCGTGAATCCATCGCTGCCATACGTGTTATCCAATGCACATAAGCTCTAACATAGCAAATAAAGATATGCAAATAAGATGAGCTCTTGTAAAATGACAAAATTGTAAACTAAATATCCACTTACTTGGGCAATCGCTGAGGCTCAAAAAACCAAGAAGACATAATCTCGGTACAGCTGGCGATAAACACTGCAGTATCTGTGTGTCGTGTGAGCCACTTTGGTATCCACCTCTTCTTGATTCTTTCTGACATTCGTTCATGGTAAGCAAATCTCACTAACACATCAAATGCTCTCACAAGTGCAAACATAGTAAAATCTATCGTGCTATGTATAGTCGATGGTGATACTCGATGTATATAATAGAGAGAAAGGGAAGAAGATATAGTAGAAGCGAAAAAAGTAGTTGCGATAGAATCTCTTTCTGTCCACTTGGACTTCCGCTCTGGCGTAGCTAATGCATTCGCCTTTTGATCCATTTTGGCGTCGGCTATCTTCTTTCTTCTGGTCTTTTTCTTTCGATTAATCACGATCTCTTCCATTAGTCGTGCCCCACCCATTGCTAATCCGCACATCATACCGACCCCACGCATGTGCAGTCGCCGCCATATTACTCTTTTAATCGACTCGCGTACAAGAGTGTATATTAGATTAATTACCCCGACAATATCTCGGGTATTCTTATCTCCTACGACTTGCGCTTTATTTAAGAATTTAATGATATGTAAGCTCCAGTAGCCTATGAGCTGAGGCGTCGTAGTTAATGCATAGCCAACAGCATATGCTCTAAGAAATACAGCAAAAGCCTTGTGAACAGAATGTTCCTTGATTAACGATATGATGCCCTCTACATTTTCTTTACACAACGACATAATTCGTTAGCCCTCTGTTTACTAAAAGGCGCAAATAGAAGTCAGCAATCAGGCTGCTGATTAAAAGATTGTCGATGATAGGCATCATGAATAAAAAACATGCTAATAATGCTCGACGTTGATCATCTCGACTTGATAAGTTATTAGTGACACAACGAATCTGTAGCAAAGGAAAAACAACGCGCCGCAGCCATTAAATTTGCTGACGGTGGGGTTTGAACCCACGCATGCTATTGCATACCAGATCTTAAGTCTGGCTCCTTAGACCACTCGGACACGTCAGCAGTAGTGAATTAATGTGAAACAATTATCTTAATAAATAATTCATCGAGGTCAAAGCTTGCAAACAATTAGTACTCGGTGCTGATTAATAGTATTACTGGTAGTCGTGATTGACTAGTAAAGCGAAGAGAGTGTCAAATAATTTTTTCTCTCCATATATTAATACACTTCTTTAAAACCATGCTGTAAATGTCATACCTGTATTAGCATATGTTATAACACGGGAGCAATTGTTGTACGTATTCCTTTGAACACAAATGGTTTACCCTATTCAAATTGACCAAACTGCGACAGAAAGAACATACTCGTTGTTTATTAGACATATTCTATTAGTAATTCTGCGCATCGTTACTATGAAGCCTGAATCAACGTAAATCGCGAAGGAAGAAATTATCTTTCTAGAATAGATATGAATATAGAGAATTAAGTCTGTGGCTTCATCGACACACGGTCAGGAATATCGTTAGCTTATTGAGTCCGTTTATAATTTCTGAGAACACAGATGACACGGAACGGGACTTTTTCGAGACCGAAGGGAGTTGGCTTTTTGCTAAAAGGAAAAAATTTTGCATGATAGTTCAAGGAATGTTAGTTTATTGTCCGCTAATTACTCACTATTACTGTTAGTCCTCGCTTTAAAATTCTCACGTATAGTCATAATAATAACTATAGTACATCGGATAATTTATTAGGGATTTTCAAAAACGTGACTTTTCCGCACGTGTATCACAAAATTTGGGGAGTTTGCCGATCTATCAAAAACGGAACCCCTGGTGTATCAAAAACGAAACTTTTGCCACAATCCGCGTACAATAGATTGAGAATGGGTCACATGCCTTTTCGATGTTATCACATAAATTATGTAGTTTATTAGTCATGAGGTTATTCTAATATGACAATCCGAAAACAAAAGCTATCGTTATGTCTTAGCAATCACCTAGCAATTTGTCCAGGAATTATACGGATGCGGACGGCAGCCGTTTCTTTATCGTCTTTTTGTTCGTGGTCTTCGGGTCTAATCGATGGCATTATGATAAACGTGGTAATAAAAGTTTGTGCGTCGAACGCAACCCATGAAAAAACACTGTCTAGCATTTTGTTAGTGACAGAAGAACAAATAAAAGGAGGTTACTAAATTTGGTTGGAAATATGAATTTTTTAACTTTATGGCCAAAAACACCCAACGATGCATAAAGTAATAGAAACAAATAATCTTGGGGGGAGTCTTTCATAGAGATAACCCTATATTAATCAACTTTGAAACTGTTGTACAGACAAACCTCTCTAAGTGTACACCCATTGGGATCAGACAATTGTGTGCATTTAGAGAAAGTGGTTATTTGTGTAATACATGCTTTAATTAAAAATGATTGTTTGTTTCATCGCATTACTTTTTTCCTCACTAACAAATCTTTCAAGATTGTGTCTGTTCACCTGTATCGTCTTGCTGTAGCAAAATAAGCGTACATTTTCTAAGCTTTCCAATGCACTATTGACATTCTCAGTACTGTCATTCATTTCTTCGACATTACTATGTCTTTTTAAACGTCCCTGCAATTTCTCTAATGAGTTGGTCATCAGGAATATCATACACAATAGCCCTGTTCAACGGCAAATTTTATTCTTTGCAAAAAACACATATTTCCGAAAACCCTTAGAACCCTTTCTCGCGACACAACCTTTTATTTCTTAGCAATTTTTAATAAAACCGTGTGTGTGTGTGGGAGGGGGGGCCATCCGTTCCGATCATGTGAATTTTAATCTGCCAATCAATGGGCGTCACAAATTGGAACAGGACTAATATTCTCTTCAGGAATAAATAATTGGTCAATATCATGTGCGTGCAGAATACAGAGGGTGTGCAATTTGAATTTTCTGGAGACATTTAATAATGCTGTAATTTTACAGGTAATTGGTGTTGTGATACATTGTATGCGGTGAACTTTTCAAGGCATTGTTCATCATTATTCCGGATTGCAGAGAATTATCTTACAATAAGTCATATACAGTAGCGTCATAAGTATCCGAACGGCCCTAATTCGGGACACGAACGAGGAAATGTTTTGCTCAATCGGATGTTTCCAGCAAATTTCCCAAACGTCTATGCAAAACATTAAAAACATAAAATATCTATCAAAACATATCAAATTGCGTGTCGCTTATTTAGAGCATAGACCTTAAAAATACACATTCATATAGGTTTCTAATCAAAGCATACGTCGTCGTATTGACTTACAGGACATAATAATAGTGGTTCCGGAACTCTGAACGTGAATAGGTGAGAGTTGAGCGTATGGTAGCGTTTGGTAGCAGTACAAATACTTATCGACGGTATTTGAATGTTAAAGAGTCTGTTTTTATTTTGGGGCCTTTAGTAAGAAATTTTAGGGACATTTGACGGAATTTACGTGGTTACGGGATTTACATACGACATATACACTCCCTGGACTAAAGAATTCAAGTTTATGCTAATGGATAGCTAACTCGGTACTAAAATAAGCTAAATGTTTAGAGCCAAAAATCGGCGAAATTGGTGTTAATCGCAATTGCTTTTTGTTTGATGATTTATCATTCAAGACAGCTAAACATTTCAAAATTCACATGCATTGTAAAAGCTGAGCTACAAAAAATATATAAATTTTGTATAATAGTTATACTGGATTTTGATAAACTCGAAAAAATTTTTCATCGAATACTTTAGTCCGGGGAGTGTAAGTTGGAATCTTAAAAAACTTAATAAAGCTAAAAATTAGTGAAAATAAAAAGGAGTACGGCTAAAAATAAAATAATATTCCAATAGCTTTCCAATTGGTTTAATAGTCGACGGATCAATATTGTATGCAAAAATAACAAGATTTTACAGTATAAAATCTACTGTTTTCAAGCTTTCAAACGCTATATAATACGTTTAATCTTTGCTGTTTCATGTAAAGCGATTGTCTTTCTTTCTTTCTTTCTTTTTTTCTTTGCGCAACACCGTATTACCTGCAATGTGTGCTAAATTCGGTATTATTTTGCGACGATTACGTTGTTCGTTATGTCAATATTCGGGAAAAGCCTTGGATATTACTTGAAATTTAGATGTTCGGGCTTGGTTTAATGGGTGCGATTTAGAGTTAATTATTAAGCTGAATTTTATCTTGGACTTGCGTGGCATGAAAAGTTCAGCTGAAATTTTATGTTTATTTTACGCGTAAATGATTGACAACTTGTGCTACTTAGCACGTGATATAATTTCAAGTAAGATAGAGACGAATCCTTTGTTTACTAGTATCTGGATGATCTTTCTCTATAAGCATTTCGCTGAGATTTAAACCTTGGCCCTTCACATCCTTCTGTATGCATGACGGCGTTGCAAAGATCTTCAATTGCGTCCGAGAAGTCGGTTGAAACGATCCGACTCAACATTTTTGAGTGTATAAAATAGATGTGGCACGAGCGTCATGGGATATAATACAGCATGATTTCGATTCGCCAGATGAGTCGATACTGTGTGCAAACGTTCAATAGACAGGCGTGAGCTACATTGTATTTGGTGACTTTGCTCCGACGAATATCAAATTATACTATATTCCATTCCAATAGAAATAATAAGTTACATATACATTCGTACTCAGTATATAAGCTATGAATTCAGTCATGACCTCAACGGGTGGCTTACAAAGACGACGAAACGCTGCAACTATAAACTCATCATCACACGAGACAAGCTATACACAGAATATAGATCGGACTATACTAGGGGATAGTGGAGTAAGAGTTGCTGTTGATCCGCATGATCTGGAAGATGATGCTGACAAGAAGCATCCATTACTTACACTTATGGAAGAAGTATTATTACTTGGATTGAAGGACAAGCAGGTAATGCTGCGTGCATGTGAGAGTTGCTTTATTTCTGGGAGACTTATATGTCAGTTTATCAGCCGAATTTTCGTTGTTAGAAGCAAAAGTTGCTAGTAGAAAACGATTCATCAATAATATTTTGTGACTGAGTAACTATATCCGAATGCAAGATGACAAGTTTAATGTGACTCATCTGCAGGAATGCTGCTCGTTGAAAAATAGCCATTCATGAGAACTGTTCTTCGACAAGAGCACACAAAGGAATAGACGATAAGTCATTGCGTACTGTAGGAATCTATTGGGAGTCTTCAATACTGTTCAAAAGTTGTAGATCGTATTCATACGTATCACATATTCATCTCCTTTCAATAACCACAAATGTAACCATTTCCCTGTTCCTTTGTCTTGTAATTTCTCCTATGCATACCATATTATATAATTCAGGGATATCTTTCATTCTGGAACGACAATATTTCATACACTCTCAGAGGTTGCATCCTCATCGAACTTGCATTTCGTGGACGAATATCAATGACAAGAGATCCTAATAGACGCAGACTACCTTTGTCAGATCGCCATATTGAAGTCATCGACGATAAATTGACTGGAGAAGTATTACTGGACGAAGCACTGAAGATGATAAAGGCGAGTGAGAAGATGAGTGTTGGCAATTGGATCGATTTGATGAGTGGTAAGAATGTTGCACTAAAGTCGAGGAGGAATTGGTATATTTAATGTGAGGCTTGGCGATTGGTATTAAGAAGGAGTGCCAGTTTTTTGGTTCTTAAAATATCATTCGCGTATGTTAACTTTATATTACACTAAACGACAATATTCCCCACTTTATTCAATAATATTACAAGGCGAAACATGGAATGTAATGAAGATAGGTTATCAACTGAAACAAGTGCGAGAACGTCTGGCTAAAGGCTTAGTTGATAAGGGTATTTTACGTACCGAGAAACGTAACTTTCTTCTCTTCGATATGGCCACACATCCTGTTTCTGATACGTCTGTTAAGGAAGAAATAATGCGTCGCATAATCACAACGTTGGTTACTCACTCTTCTGTAACCGCATCATCGGAGCCTGAAATACCATACAGCCATCTGAGAACTGTCGCTATGGTCTGCGCCGCATATGCTGCTAACGTGTTGGAGAATGCATTGATGAGCCTGAATCATGAAATGAGAGAGCGAGCATACAGTAAAGTTGATGAACTGCTGAGCGATTACAGTGTCTGGCCATTTACAGCAAGAGGAGTAGAGATTCCCGAGGGAAAGGAATTGCAGGTCGAAGTGGCAGCAGCAGTATTAAATGTATTTACAAAAATGGATAGTCTGTTGTGAATGCTTAAAATTGATCGGGAAAGAAAGTTGAGCGGGTTAATTGAGTCAAGGTGTAGGACGGGATAATCATCGACTTAAAATACTTTTTAGTGAATTAAAATGGTGACGAGAAGGGTGTTTAGCTATGAGCAGAGTGTACTAATAAGTTCTTTTGGTGAAAAGTTGATAACTCGACAATTTACATCAACCCTCGGGGAATTTTTGAGTTCCTTTTTATTAGACAATTTATTGCATTTCCTGTTAAAACACTTTCGATTTTTACTCTGAAAGTAAATTTCGTGGGTCATGAAAAGTATGGAATTTGGGTGTTTTTATTGTAGCAATGTTTGGGAAACTAATATAACAAAATATCAGAATCAATTTATATAATGAAAGAATCTATGAATAGGCGTTCAGACAATTTGTTGAGGATGACTGGATACAAGTTTGTGAATAGATTATCGCAATGACCTAACCGACGCATTAAGTGTCGTGAGACACACTGTTGAAGTACCCTCCCCTGTCAAAATTTTATTAGGGCCCCCATACCGATCAATTAGTATAACACTGTAATTGACAATGATGATATATATGTTACACACACAGTTTTATACGTGCTACAACAGTCAATTAGCTATAATAATAACAAATTGATCAACATGGGTGGCCCCAAATTTTTGGCAGGGAATGTACTAGTACATAGGACTTGAATTGTCAATGCTAATACGTTCCAACGGTGCCAGCGTTTGTCTTTCATACAGAAGAATGCAATTACAAACTATTATGGTTTTTTCATGACATTTTTGACTGCCTAAAGGAAAATCAATCCAAGAAGTGAGCTTGCAAGTTCTAAAACACCACATATACAATGTCATTTCACATTTTTTAATTCATAGAGAATATTTTGACAGGACGAATTGAGTCGAGAAATCATCTACACACATATTAGACGTTCTCGATAATGATAATTTTTATCCATTTTCATCTTTGCATGACTGGAATATAAATACTTCTTTATCTGAATTTGTAAGACGTGTTTGGTGCTGCGGGTTAAACTGAATACTTTCAAGGAATGCATTTGACAAAGTTGCTGACTATGCTTCAAGTGATTGGCAACAGTGCAATCCGGAAGATGCAAAATTTGCTCTGCTGTAATATTTGATATCAATAATACTATAATACCTTATGATTTAAATGACATATTAATATTTGATCACACGAGCAACTTATATATAGGGCCTTTTACTCTTGGAGATAATTCAATTTGACACTAACACGTTATACGCTCTGGCTTCCTTGATACCATTTGCTTATTAACTTGGTATTCTCAGTATCCTCTTTACAGTTTTGTAAATTTAGCCATAAGTCTGACATCTCGGATTGCATCCTGGGATAAATTCAAATCAATAACCCTGGAACACTATTCAGAAAATCTAAAATGACAAATTTTGTTTTTTTTTTAATCAGGCACAATTTTATTAATATTAAGCAATAATTTATTTGTCATTAGTTTCATTCTTTGTGTTTCCAATACTAAGCAATTGGCCACAAATAATATAAAGAAAAACACTTGGGCTCTCACAAAGTGCATAGCGCAATCCTTTCAAGCACATGTATATTGTCGAGGCAATAGTCATGGGAGAGCGGATAACTATTGTCTCGGTTTGGGATCTAGCTGCGTCGTCGTAGGAGTGTGCGATAGCTAAATCGTAACAAACAGTTAGTGACCTTTTAATTTAGGCTTTTCGGTGCTGACGTATTCTTATACGGAT